GGGCAATGTAGCCCAATGCTGGTCACGCACACACAGCCCTCAGTGCGATATGAGAATAACGCCGATCTTCAGACAATAGGAATTGAAACGGACCCTTTGGGGAGATGAATGAATTAGAATCATCTGAGACTCAGCTCTTTGTATAGTATAGATCTGTTACTTAGATGGTAGCTCCTTTGGGCTGGAACCAGTATGTACAATGGTTATAAGTACAGTGCCTAGCACAGCATGGTCCTCAGTGGGGAATCTAGTCAGTACCACTGTTCTATTCCATCCACGTGCAGATTTTTTCCATCGATGTGTGGAATAAATTTTGTTATGCACATTAAGGAATGTGCACCATCAGTAGAAACAAAAAAACTTAGCTCTGGGTGCTCTGATCAGCTGGGTGGTTTTGGAATCTCTCCTGAGCTGCTGCATGAGTTCACAGGTTACAGGGAACACTGGTTAAAAGTTTAAATGATGAATTTTACTTACTGGGATTTAGTCCTTATTTTCCAACATTGTGCAATGGTGTAAGTTGATATGTAGTGCTCTGAATGGATCCCACGTGTAAGACATTTCATATGCACACTTGTCCATGTCAACTACTACAGCCGTGAGCACAGGGGACTGCACTACATGACCTCTTGAGGCCTGACCCAGACCTACAGTTCTACGAGACTCAGTACATTCACACTGATTAAAAGAAATCCATGGCACTGGTTCTCAGAGCCTAAGTTTGCTGACTCAAAATTGCGAGGCTCAGGCTGCGTTCGCTACAACTTGTGCGCTTGTGTGGCTGCTCAAGAGAGATACCAGTGTTGCCTAGCTGATTAGCAGGGTGCCCACCGCTAGGTTTTCTGTTTTTCCTGGTGGTGCACATTCACACAAGCTTCAGTGCACGTAAATTTATTCTGCACATGGATGGAAAAAATCTGCAGGCGGATGAAAAACATAAGAACATAAGAATAGCCACTCTGGATCAGACCAAAGGTCCATCCAGCCCAGTATCCTGTCTGCCGACAGTGACCAATGCCAGGTGCCCCAGAGGGAATGAATCGAACAGGCAATGATCAAGCGATCTCTCTCCTGCCATCCATCTCCACCCTCTGACAAACAGAGGCCAGGGACACCATTCCTTACCCATACTGGCTAATAGCCATTAACGGACTTAACCTCCATGAATTTATCTAGTTCTCTTTTAAACCCTGTTATAGTCCTAGCCTTCACAACCTCCTCAGGCGAGGAGTTCCACAGATTGACAATGAACTGTGTGAAGAACTTCCTTTTATTTGTTTTAAACCTGCTGCCCATTAGTTTCATTTGGTGGCCCCTAGTTCTTATATTATGGGAACAAATAAATAACTTTTCCTTATTCACTTTCTCCACACCACTCATGATTTTATAGACCTCTATCATATCTCCCCTGTTCTTGCGCAAGAAGCTGCCAGTATAGACATAGCCTAACATTTATTTGGGCATAAGCTTTTGTGGACTGGGGCCCACTTCATCAGATGCATGAACTGGAAACAACAGTTGGACAGAGGTGTATACATACAGAGATGGGGGCATTACAATACCACGGGGCGGACCAGTGCTAATGAAACCACTTCAGTCAGGGGAGATGTGGCCCACTCCCAACAGCTGATAAGATGGCGAGAATATCAAAAGGAGGGAAATGGCTTTTTGTTTAGCCAGATCCAGTTTACTAGGGTCAAGTTTCACCTGCAGTATGGTTTTGAAGGGGTTTTTTTTGGCCCTTAAGTATAGCAGCTTTCAGGTCTGTCAGGGTACAGCCACACACCACGGCGCCATTTCGGGATACGTCCGGTATCCTGAAATAGCGCATTCCGTGTCTTGACAGCTTTCAAAATAGCTTTCAAAAGAACAGGCTCACTATTCCGATGTCCCTGTAAACCTCGTTCCATGAGCAGTAATGGACATTTTGGAATAGCAGTTTATTTCAAAATTTGGCGCTGTGTAGACAGCTCCAAATTGCAAAATAGGCTATTTTGAAATACACTCGAAACAAGCTACTCAATTTGCAAAGCTCAAATTTGTGTAGCTTATTTTGAGCTACAGGTACAGTGCAGATGCACCCTTACTGTTTTGTGATTTTTAGCAGCTAAAATTGAGGTTTATCGTGTAGCTTTTTAACTTTGTCACAGCTGTGGGAAATGAAGGTGGGGGTCCGACAATGTTTAGTGACAGGAGGTGTTGCAATTCAACTAGTTAAAGCCTTATCATGGTTAACATACAACTCGTCAACATCACATGTCAAAATATACAAAATAAATATTGGGGCTGACTTAAGGGTAAGTTCTCAATCCGCCGTTTTCTTACATTTCCTATCTGTCAATGTCAGCGAGGCCACCAGCCACCGCCGGCTCTGGGGCAAAGTGTGAGGAGGGGCCTGGCTCTGTGGCCCCAGAAGGGCCGGGATCTCAGAGGAAGGGGCGGGGCCACGGGTAGCTAGCTGTCAGCACTGCATGGGCTACAGGGTATAAAATTATGAGTGGTGTGGAGAGGGCAGATAAAGAAAAGTTATTTATTAGTTCCCATAATAGAAGAACTAGAGGACACCAAATGAAATTAATGGGGAGCAGGTTTAAAACTAATAAAAGAAAGTTCTTCTTCACACAGCGTGTCGTCAACCTGTGGAACTCCTTGCCAGAGGAGGCTGTGAAGGCTAGGACTATAATAGAGTTTAAAGAGAAGCTAGATAATTTCATGGAGGTTAGGTCCATAAAAGGCTATTATCCAGGGGATAAAATGGTGTCCTTGGCCTCTGTTTGTCAGAGGCTGGAGAGGGATGGCAGGAGACAAATCGCTTGATCATTGTCTTCGGTCCACCCTCTCTGGGGCACCTGGTGCTGGCCACTGTCGGCAGACAGGCTACTGGGCTAGATGGACCTTTGGTCTGACCCAGTACGACCGTTCTTATGTTCTTATGTACAGCACTGGCCGGCCCTCAGAGCTCCGTGAAATGCCTAGTGTAGTGATCCAGTGGCAATTCAAAGGTGCCCCGGACTCTGACTGCAGTAGCAGTGGTGTTAGAAGTGCCAGGCACCAGGGCAATGACCCACTTAGAGGCCCCTCTCCTCTGTTGTTGGGCCTGGTCAATGTTTATGAATATAGATGGAAATGTTTTTCCCAGTTTGTGTGTGTACAGGGAAATCCCCATTTAGCAATATTTACTGATAAAAAGCGAATCCTTCCAGCCTGGCTGGAGGCACGGATGAAACCCCAAAGGGGTTGGGCGGGGAATCAGCCAAATAATAGTGGTCCCTTCACCATAAGGTCAAGGTACAGTACTAACATTTCTAAGGGTATATCTATAGCTAATGGTGGTGGGTAGAATAGTTGTCTATGTTAGTCAAAGGATGCATAACTCAAGGACAGGGAGGGATCCTATAAGGGGCAAATAACTAGAGCAGTGGGATAAAATTAAGAAAAAGGTGAGCTACTAAGCATATTGCTTGATACTACTCAGCAGAAAAGTCCCCTAAAGGAAGCAATATGCCGTCCAGGATTTGGTGCTATGAAAAGATAGAACGGGAAAGGCTGGTTGAAAACTCACTGTCAATTGTCTTTCAGTGGCATTTTGTGTTGGATGAAATACCAGACGTTGTGACAACTGCTTTTCAAGGAACATTTCACCCTTTCCATCAAAAGAGAACTTTTTGCTGTTCTGGTGGTGATTTGGCCAAAAACGACAACCACAAAAATTGATTCAGAAGTGCTGCTTCATGGGAGCTGTAGTTTGTGTGACCGGTGCCCCTAATCTTTTCCATGGGTTAATATCCCTAGTCAGACTACATCTCCCACAGTGCACCATGGCCAAGGACTCCATATTGGCTCAAGAGAGGAGACCTGGGAGATGTAATCCAGCTAGCAAGATCAGCCAATAAAGAATGGGATCCCCAGTAGACCTACAAGAAAATCTATTTATCAAAAAGGCTTAACCCTTCTCACCCCTACCCCCACTCCCCAAAAAACTCCTGAATGAAACAAAGTGAAAAATTGGGAGGAAAGTTCATTCTGGGTCAGTGTTTTCTTTTGTTTGACCCAAAACAACTTTCTCCCCCCTCCCCTCAGCTGAAACTATTTGGCACATTCATCCCAAATTTGAGCAAAAAGACTTGTTACCACAATACAATTGTCCAAAAAAAATCACCCTGCTGTAGCTGTGAACCCAACCCCAAGCTACAACTCCCATGAAGCTCTGGGGTGGCATTTTCAATTGGAACGTTTGCTTTTCAACTACAAGTTTTTAGCTGACAGCTTTTTGCCATAAAGTCATACGTGTGCCACAGAAAACACCTGTTTCCCCCCTAGTTCTGACTGCAGGGGATTAATTCTGCTCCAGGCGAGGTGGATCACGAGTCTTGGTCCAGAGATAATGAGTTTTGTTCAGAGGTCTCTGGGTTACTTCTCCCGACAGCTCATGGTCTGTTCCCAGCTAGGGTTGCCAGATACCTTCACAAAAAATCCTGAACATGGTGGGGGAAAAAATTGGTGGAGCAAAAAAAAAAAAAAAAGGTCGCTATGCCTTTAAATTCCCCCATCCCAGACACAGCAGGAGAAAAATGTCCCCGATGGCTTTCCATCTGGGGAAATCAGAAAATACCAAACATTTGTACTGGATGGAAGGTGCAATTATTGGATTGTCCAGGTAAAAACCGGATGCCTGGCAACCTGATTCCCAACTTGGTGTTGTAATTTAGCATCAGCCCATGTGCTTCGGGAGTTAGCTCTGACAAACCCTGGAAAGGCAGGGCAAGCTGAAGGCCCTTGGCAAAGCCCGGAGTTGTTCAGCATTTCAAAGCACTGAGTTCTTAATGCACACTGAATAGCTGGGATTTTCGACGCGACTGATTCCTTTGCACAGAGAAACCCTGATCAAGGTGAAAAGCAGCTGTGATCAGTGCGCCTGTTGCCGCTCTCTGAAAGATGCCGCTTTCCCACTTGAGTAACTGAGATCCCTAACTTGGCCTGTCTCTCTCATTCTCTCGCAGGACTTCCCACTCCAGAGCTAAAGCAGACGCGGCTGTGACAGCAGCTCAGAAAGCTCAGGAGGAAGCTCGGATTGCCAGAATCACTGCCAAAGAGTTTTCGCCTTCCTTCCAACACCGGGAAAACGGTCAGTCCGCATGCGCTGCCACGCCAGCCAGCCTCCCAGGATGACTTCATTGTGTGTGCGCATGGGCAGGTGTTAAATGGCTCGATGCACGGGGCATTGCGGGACTTCTCGAGGGTGGTCCTGGAGCTGGGGGCCGGGGGCAAAGAGGAAGCTTGCCTCCACCCCAGTGATCTTCCAGGGCCCCCAAGCGAGCCAAAATATGTGCCAAGCTAGTATTCAGTAGTAGAAGTAATAGTGACAGAATACGGACACAGTAGCCAAATTTTACTTTTTAAAAACTCTGACACTGCGAGATTCTCCAGGAGTCTAACTGGTGTATGGACTCATAGAAGGTTGGTTGTTTTTTAATTTGCAACATGCAAGGAACCCAAAATCCCCACACACGCTGGGATCTTACAATTTTTTTTAATGTCAGGGGCCTGATTCATGAGGGATTTGCACACGGCTGTTGTGTTTCTTTAACTCCTTCCGCCTCTCCCCCACAAATATATGGGTTGGAGGGTGGTGGTGTGGATGTGTTCATAGGAGAATGATCATGTGCGTCATAGATAGTGTAGTCTAATGGACAGAGGCATTGGAGTGGGACTAGGAAACCTGGATTGTATTCCTTGCTCTGTCCCTGACCAGCTGGGTGACCTTGGGCTTGCCTCCACCTCCACTGCTCTTAGCCTCAGTTGCTCATCTGTAAAATGGGCATAAGGATACTGAACTCCATTTTGAAGTGTTTTGCTAGTTGCTGATGAGAAGCATTTATAAGAGCGACACAGTATATGTCATGTGCATGTCTATTGGTGATCTTGGGTCATTCTGTGTTTATGTCTGGGTTTGTTCATAAGATGCCAGCAAAGAGAGGGTTTGTGCATTGGTATGTGCGTGGAACGTGGTTCCTGGTTTGGAGCCTGGCCTGAGGCTGGGTGCAGAAGCTCTTTGAGAGACGATTCAGCAGCCAGCAGGTTGGAGGGCGCGTCCAAAAGCAGCTTGTTTTCCTCAGAGTGCTGCCTTGCTGCTCGCTGTCTTGCCTACAGTGGTATGGAGCTGCAGGATGTTTAGAGACAACAGGGGCTAGCTCAGGGCTACTCAGCATGTGGCCCCTAGCCCATTGGTTTGCAGCCCGCAAGTGGGAGCCAAAACAAAAAAGTCCATATAATGGTCTTCTGTTGATATGTGTGGGTCTGTCTACACTACAAAGTTAATTCGAAATAACAGCCGTTATTTTGAATTCACTTTAATGGCGTCTACACAGGCAAACCGCTATTTCAAAATAAATTCGAAATAGTGGAGCCCTTATTTCGAATTTGGTAAACCTCATTCTACGAGGAGTAAGACCAAATTCAAAATAGCTATTTCTTGCTGTGTAGACACTTAATTCGAGATAGGGGGCCTCTAGCCCTTCCCAGGGAGCCCTGGTGGCCACTCTGGGCACAACCAGGAAAACTTACTCTCCTTTCCCCCAGCGCTGGAGCCATTAAAGGGGTAGACCCTGGCCACAGTGCCTGTGCCAGCTCCAAGCCTGCCAGCCCAAGGCCAGCAGTGGCCACCGGGGCCCCTCACCCAGTGGCCCCAAAACATGATCCAGCAAGCCACTTGCAGCCAGCCCTCACCACTCCCCAGGAGCAGTCTGCCAGCTCCCAGGAGCCTGACAGGGGCTGGAGAAGGCGGGCGCCTTCCTGGTCCAGGGTGGAGATCATGGACCTTCTTCAGGTTTGGGGGGGATGTCCCCAATGTCCATGATCTCCGCCCTAGATGGAGGAACGCGGCCGTCTAGGGCAGGATAGCTGCCAGCCTGGCCACCAAAGGCCACATGCAAACCCAGGAGCAGGTTTGCATGAAAGTCTGGTTGGTCCGGTGAGACCCCCAACCCTGAGCCCTGAGCTTCCCCTTCCCCTTCTTCCCCTGGCTTCCCCCTTCCAGCTCCCTCCTCCCAGGTTTCCCCCAGCCCTCTCCCACCCTCTCTCACCTCCTTTTCCCAGTCTTCCCAGAGGTTCATCTCTTCCCCCCCACCCCCGCTGTTCAATAAACCCAGTTTCTATTTTTGAACATACGTGTCTTTTATTTGACATCAGGAAGGGGGGCTAGGGAAGGGTAAGTGGAAGAACGTGAGGGAGGAATGGGGCACGAGCCCCCCACACGTGTCTTTTATTTGACATCAGGAAGGGGGGCTAGGGAGGGGTAAGGGGAAGGAGGTGAGGGAGGAATGGGGCACGAGCCCCCGGTGGGGAGGCTCCGAGGGCTCCTCGGGGTGGATGCTGTCCCTCAGGGCCTCCTGGATCCTGACAGCCCCCCGATGGACCCCTAGATGGCAGCCTGCAGCAAGTGAAGCTGGGCTGATGGCAACGACCCCACGAGATGCACTGGCATGCCCAGGGGCAGCTCTGGCTCCATGTGGCCGAGTGCTGTGATGTGCCGAGTGAGGGCACTCAGGGCACTCCAAGCCAGGACTGCTTTGCTGTCCCTCATCGAGGTAGACAAGCAAGCGGGGAACCCTGAGAACTGTCTGTCCGGGGTGGGGGTAGGGCCCCTTTAAGCACAGAGCTCAGTTAGCCTCAGGCAGCAGCCCCACACACTAAGTCCTAACCTGATGCCCTGCTGGCACTGGTTCTGGCCAGCCTTAACTTAGGTTCAGGGTCCACTCAGTGTGGACGAGCTATTTCGAAATAGCAAAACGCTTTTTCAAAATAGTTTTTGTGTATAGATGCGTTAATTCGAATTAGCTTAATTCAAATGAACTATTTCAAAAATAAGTTAATTCGAAATAGTGCTGTAGTGTAGACATACCCTATTTTAGTAGTTAAATTCCTGGACTGTCGTTGCTCATTAAAAGTGCTGTCCTATGGGTGGAAATCAGGTAAATACTGCATTTTATTAATATCAGCAGAACTGACTCAACTGGGGCCTGTGTGTTGTGTCGTCTTGCCTTAATCTTTGTATTCATGCCCGTCAGTGTGAAAGAAGCAATTTGCAGGGCTTCCAAAGTTTAGTAGCTCTGGTCTAGCTCATGGCAGATCCCCACTCAAAATAAATGAGCGAGTAAATAAAAACAGGTGGTGCTTGCTCAGGCCACAAACATTCCCAAGGCAGCTGTGCGCAGATAGTAGGAGGAGGACAGGTCAAAGCGGGAGTCATGGGGAAGATCCAAGACTTAAACTGCATCAATTAACACACGTGAATGGAACTATTCACAAATTTGTAGCAGGCTGCACTCTCACTAGAAGGCAGTTTTTCCTCAAGCTCTTCAATCGAGGTTACTCATCCGTCTTAATTGCTTCTGTGGCTGATGGTGATGACTCATTACATTGGTGCTTCTCTCCCTGAGTCAGGGCCCCAGTGTGGCATTAAGGGGTTGGGCCATCATTAGGACAACATGTTCCAGCCACTTGAAGTCCTCAGAGAGCCACGGTGCTTTCCATAAGTGTTCGGACAGCAAGTTGGCATGTTCTGGCCAAGTTCCCATTTGAGTACATGCATTTTCCTTGCCTTTGTTTATGTTGTTTCAGTTCATCTTTGCTTCTCATGGGGTGCTGTTGCTGTAAGCTGATCTACAGCTTATCTGCACTACCCAAGAGGTGGCTGCATTTCACCGCTATCTGCTGTGATTCTCATCTAGAGAGAGAGAAAGCTGAATCCATCCCTTGTGTGAGCCCACTGGCTCCACAGAGTTACCCTGGGAGCCCACACTAGATATAATTTGCGACTCCTTCGGCATCATTAAGTAGGCGCAGCGCCGCATAAGTGTAAGATACCCTTGTTATTATACTATTAACTATCAAAAGCCCTGGGCCCTTTCTGCGGGGGAATAGCAGACGAGCTCCCCTCCCCTTTGAGATCGTGTGTTTGACAGGGACAGTGGGTTTGCAGACATTTTGGTGGTGCCCCAAATGGCCAGAGCTCGCACCCTTCCCCCATCCAAATTTAGGGTTGCCAGGTGTCCAGTATTGAATGCAGTTCGGTATTTTCGCCTCCTGTCCGGTAAAAAAAATTCAGAAAATAGCGAGCAGTCCGGTATTTTCACCTCCTGTCCGGTAAAAAAAAAAAAAGCCCGGAAAATACTGGACACCTAAAATTTTCTGATTTTTTTCCCAGCCAGGAGGCAAAAATACCTCAGGGCAAATGTCTGGCCTGGAGCAGGCAGACAAGATGGCGGATGGCCACCAGCAGCCTGTTAGGGCCAGAAAGCCTCATACACGGTTTTTAAAGGGGTCCTTTTTTTCCCTCAACAAGTTTTTTCCTGGAGTGGGTGGTGGTGGTGGTGGTGGTGTGTATTTTTTCTGAAACCATCTGGCAACCCTATCCAAATTCGTCCCCCTCCCCCCACCTGCCCAAGGCTCTGAGAGGGAGTTTGAGGGGGAGGGATGCAGGCTCTGGAAGGGAATGTGGGTGGGAGAGGGGGTCTGAAATGCAGGCTCTAGGATGGAGTCTGGGAGCTAAGTGCAGGCCGTGGGCTGGGGGAAGGGCTGCAGGGAAGGGTAAGGTGTGCAGGTTCTGGGAAGGAGTTTGAGGGCTAGAGAGGGGGTGTCGGGCTGCACTCCCCTCTGGCAGCAGCTCCTAGGCAAGGGGGGGCTAAGAGGTTTCCACACACTGCTGTCCACAGACACTGCCCCACAGCTCCTATTGGCTGCAGGGGCGCTCAGGGTGGGGGCAGCGTGTGGAAACCCTCCCTTTCCCCTGGGAGCTGCATGCAAGCAGCTGCACTGAGCAGGTGGCAGGATGCTATTCTAGCTCTGCTGTGCTGCCAGTAGTGGTGGGGTCCCCTGGGCCGATTTGGGGGGCAGCAAGTGGACCCTGGGGATGCATTGGGGGGTATGAGGGGGTGGCCCCAAATTTTGACCCCAGAAATATTCCTTGTGCCCGGGCCCCACAGGCCCATATAACTCACCACCCATGGTGTTTGGCTACATCAGGGGAGCCCTTCTCTTTGCTGATACGTGTCAGTCTGTGAGACCGGGACATAAAACATTTCAGAGAAGAGTTGGGAAAGTCCTCGTACAGCCGGGAGACGGACT